TTTGTTCTTCATTCTCCAACAACAACACTTTCTTAATCTCTAATTCTAACAAGAAACATGTTCGTGTTACTACTATTATCCTCACTGTACCCACACAATCTCATGTTTAAACACACACGTATCCCATTAATGAAGGAAATATGAACAAACCGAGAAAAAGTAAACTCATTCCACTTTTTTGATGATCCTTCTCTTGCGCAGAGATTATTTGAGAACTGTTACTGGAGCACTATGAGATTTCCTTTGGGCAAGTGCATGTGTCTGTATTTCACAGTCCAAAACGTTTAATGCCAGATTTTGTCTTTCTCGCTAGAAACCACTTTTGCTTATCCTCATGTAATTGTGTGTTTAGGGATTTTAAGTTTTAGAAAAGCACAGGAATATGAGACTAAAGGAAAACGTTTGTAATTTAAAGTTTGACTATTTAGTCATTAAATCATCACTTAGTTATGGATTAAAATCGTACTAGCAATATCTATACTATTAAAAGTGAAGACACCCTTGAAAAATCGATTGATGGAAGTTGTGTGCACCCTTCATTAATGTCATTTTGGTAATTTATTTTCGGCCTTACATATATATATATATATATATCAATTTGTTACAAATAATATCACATATTGCATATACTCGAATTATTCTCTGTCTTTCCATTAATTACTCTAACCATTAATTATTCTCTATTTTCCCATTAATTATTCTCTCTCTTCCCATTAATTACTCTAACCATATTTCATATTATATTTCATACATTTATTGATTTCCAACATTATATTACACGATTTGGTATATGCATCATATATGGACTTTATAATCACATTTCATACTATATTTCATACATTTATATTGTATTTATACACATTATATTACATGATTTCAATCTATAGATTTTCAGCATTATACTTTTATGGTTGACATATGGTATATAAATCATATACGGACTTTATAACCATATTCCAAATTATATTTCATACATTTATATTGTGTTATACACCTCATACTACACGATTTCAATCTATATATTTCCAACATTATACTTTTTCGGTTAACATTTTTTGGTATATGGACTTTATAAACCTTCATTTCATTTATATTGTGTTATAGACCTTCATTTCATGATTTATCTTCATATATGAAATATGTTTTCATGTCTCACTAAATTTACCATTATTTATATACCATACTATATTTCATGCAATTATATTGTGTTATAGACCTTATATTACATGATTTTAATCTATATATTTCCAACACTATACTTTTTTGGTTGACATTTTTTGAATGCATCATACATGGACTATATAAACCTTCATTTCATTTATATTGTGTTATAAACCTTTATTTCATGATCTATCTTCATATATGAAATATGTTTTCATGTCTCACTAAATTTATTCGTATTTGTAAATCATACTATATTTCATACATTTATATTGTGTTATAGATCTTATATTACACGATTTCAATCTATAGATTTCCAACATTATACTTTTTTGGTTGACATTTTTTGGTATATGCATTATACATGGACTTTATAATTTTTAATTTCATTTATATTGTGTTATAGACCTTCATTTCATGGTTTTCTTCATATATGAAATATGTTCTCATGTCTCACTAAATTTACTTGTATTTATATACCATAGTTAGACGACATATAGTGATATCAACTAAAAAGATATATCATCACTTTCATATTGAAATTTAATGGACGAGATACGCATATGTATGTGCACCCTTGAAAAATCGACTGATGGAAGTTGTGTGCACCCTTCATTAATGGGATTTTGGTAATTATTTTTTTTCTTACATCTATATATATATATCGAATGTTACAAATCATATTACATTAACCATATACCCGATTTATTCTCTCTCTTCCCATTAATTACTCTAACCATATTTCATTTTATGTTTCATACATTTATTTTACCCGGGTTATACCAATATGATTTGTATGATATTATATGATTTGTAACATTTGATATCATATGATTTGTAACATTATACAAGGACAATGGCTGCACTGTCCTTTCGGTATATGTGATATGATTTGTATGATATGATATTATTTTCTACATTTGATATCATATGATTTGTAACATTTGGTTACTACACTATAGATTACATAATTCAAATATATATCAAACCCATTTTAGTAGTATAGATATGGCCAGAGTAATTAAATATGTGATAGGATGAGTCATATCAAATATAAAACATTGTCCTTTTGGTATATCCATAAATATACTAATATGATTTGTATGATATGATATGATTTCTAACATTGATATCATATGATTTGTGAAAATAATGGTTACTACACTATATATTAGATAATTCAAATATATATCAAACCCATTTATGAGTGACATTTAATAACGAGATACGTTTTCGTAAGAAAATATTGCAAATAGTAAAATGAATAAATTCTTTCATCTACAAGTTTATAGATTATGGAAACAGTAATAATATCGTGGTTAGTTTTTTTTTGGTGGATTCCATATATTTCTGTAATTGGATTAGTATTAACTGTTACACTTCCTATCTAATTCAAAATATATTTCATAAATATTCCTTATTCCTTGAATGAGATATTTTAAAATATCATAAAAAATATTCTTCCCTACATTTTCGTAACCTAAAGGTTATCGTCTCTAGCTATTATAAATATAGCCTCTCTTAACCACTATATTCATCATTCATTCAAAAACCTAAATCTTCCCTATGGCGAATAATTTTCAGTTGTCGTTCTTGAGCGATGTCAAACTGAGAAAAAATGCATGTCGCATCCTAGTAATCCTTCATACATGGAGACATTTCATGAAAGACATAGGCGAGACCATGGAACTGTTCCTTTGTGATGAAATGTAAGTTTATTGTTTTTCATATATTTATCGATATGCATATTCATTTCATTTCGTAAAGGTTTTCACTTTATAATAGTATAGACTAAATTATAAAACTTATTTATAATCGCAGAGGTAATGATGATTCTCGAGCGTTAACCCTGGATGAATCAAAATCGCAGAGGTAATGATGATTCTCCATCGATCCGTTTTAGGATTATGTTTGTTTAGAAATAATGTTTTTAGTTATGTTTTGACAATCGCATAATGATGATTCTCGAGCGTTATTCTTGTCTGAATCAAAATCGCGTTTTGTTTTCACCCAATAATTTTCATTTAAATAATATTTGTTTTTTCTTGACGATTTATTGACTGATTTATTTATATGAAAATACATAGTGTTGTATAAAACAGATCAATATACTATGATATAATAAACGAAAATCGATGTATACTATATTTGCTGCATATTGAAACAGAAAATGAGATACTTGGAGTAACAAATCTCATTTGTTACTCCAGAATCTTGCAATATTTAAATTATTCCATATGTACTTGGAGTTATATTTGACTCTCATAAAAAATATATATATATCATGAATTATTTTTGAGTTACCTTTGACTCTCATAAATTAATTTAATATTTTATTTTATGGTCAACAAAAAAATTGAAGCCCTTCTTAAGCGCGGGTAAAAATTGAATATTATTTTTATTGTTCAAAAATCATAGATGTAATTATTTTAACTAACATAAATAAACTATATAAGAAGCGCGGGTCAAAATTGAATATTATTTTTATTGTTCAAAAATCATAGATTTAATTATTTTAACTAACATAAATAAACTATATAAGAAGCGCGGGTCAAAATTGAATATTATTTTTATTGTTCAAAAATCATAAATGTAATTATTTTAACTAACATAAATAAACTATATAATTCGATTAACATATTTATTGGATTTAACTACAAATTTGTAATACAATTTTGGGCATTTTCAATAGTATTGATTTTTTAAATTTACTATAGGCCATGAACCCATCCAAATTTGGTTTCAATCTAATATGTGTTTTAATTCTTCATAGTCTCACAACACTTAATTTTCTGATTCTCGGTACAATCACAAACTGACTCGGTTATGCAAAACTCAATGAAAAGATCATACTTAAACGTTAAATATACATCAAATTTCACATATAAAACTACCATATAATAAAAATAGAATCATTTGATACATTTTGTTATAACCAAAATAAAACCCGTGCTTCTCAAGCGCGGATCAAAATCTAGTTGTGCTGATTATAAATAGTTGGGGATTAAAATGCTCATTTTCCCTCCATGTAGGTATCAATTATATTTCGGTTCTCTCGGTTTGGTTCCAGATCGTTTTAGCTAACCGGATTACTATCTGATTATAATCGGATCATTTGTCGGGTCGTTTTGGTCTTTAAATTCCCTAACCGCTTAATACTATAACCTAATACGTATATATTTATAGTGTGAAAATTTACATTTAGGTTGAAGAGGTTCAGTGGCAATTAGTTGTCCATTCCCCTATATATCCATTCCGAGTTTGAGCAGCGGCAGTGTCATTGTCCTAATATCTTGGACCTAACATATATCAGGTCATTTGGGTAACCAATCGGTTCTCGAAACCAAAACCAAACTGCTACCCATGCTGTGGGTTCCACGGTTCTGAACATTGGAGTTCTATGGGTAAATAGCTTAGTTTTAAAACCGAACCAAGTTTTAAAACCGAACCAAACCGACCAGTCCTAGATATAACTGCAGGGTTTGTGCTGACTGTTGAGAATACCAATATCCCTTGACAATGTGTTTGTACTTATCATTGTTCATTTACATGTTAAATAATTATGTTGTTGTAATTGAACACATGATTTCTTAATCATTAGTCAGTAATATGGAAAACGAGGAATATTTTAAATTAGGATTAACGGAATACATTAGGTTTTTAGTTGTAGTTTAGTTTATCATTTTTGGAAACCTTTACTTACCAAAGATTACCATATCTGGTCCAGCCTGTGTTTTGGCAACGTCAACGTTTTCCAATGAAAATGCACATGGGCTTTTGATCCGACGTCCCCAACAAAACTCACGTGGTGTATACGACACGTTCACATTTCAACCATCTTCTTCTCTCATCTCGGCACAACACAAAAAGTTTGAAAAAAGATGGCCTCTCGACACAGCTTGGTATTTTTCTTTCTCCTCGGTTTATTCACCGTCTTAATAAGTCCGGCTATCTCTTCTCGCGTCTTGTCCTCCACCAAGCGTCCGGTCAACGTTGACTCTCGCTCTTCCATTGCTTCCTACTGTGAGAGCTGGAGATTGGCCGTCGAGACCAACAATGCTGGAACATGGAAGGTGGCTCCATCCAAATGTGTTAGCTCCACTGAAACTTATTACAGCGGAGGCCAGTTCGACAACGATTACAATGTACTTGCTCGTTACGCTCTCGCCTTTGCTAAGACAGTAAAGATTGGTGAAGATGGCAAGGATGCATGGATCTTCGACGTTGATGAGACGCTTCTCTCGAACCTCGAGTACTATAAGGCTAACGGTTATGGGTACGTAACGCTCTCTCTATTACTAGCCGTTTAGGTTCTAGTTATCTATAAAATGTGTGTTATTTCAATTGTTTGGCTAACTTTGTTGACCATGACCAAACTGGTAGATTTGTGTAATCAAAAACTTGGTTCTTGGTTTTGTGAGTTCTTTGCTATTTTAACTGCATTATTTTTTCTCCTACCAGACCGAATGATTTGTTTCTGGTGGATTTAGGTCTGAGCCGTACAACTCCAAGAAGTTCCATGAGTGGGTGGCACAAGGTACAGCCCCAGGTTTTGATGCGAGCTTGAAACTGTACAAAGGTCTCAAGAAGCTTGGTTTCACTATCATTCTGCTAACTGGCCGAGATGAGGCCCAGAGGAGTATTACCGAGAAAAATCTCCGGGAGGCCGGTTACTCCGGCTGGGAACATCTCCTCCTGAGGTATAAGTTATACCAAAATATTTCTTTTATTTTTCATTTAAAACTAGGTGCAGGACTTGTCTATAACGGCACGTTTTCAAAACTTATATCACTGACATTACCAGACAGAATCTAGGTGTTGATTGGTCTTCGACTCATGATTTGAACTTTGGTCGTACATATATGTTGATGTGTAGGTAATATATTGAAATAGCACATTTAAAACAAAAAGAAAGAATTCGGGTCACTAGTGTGATTTCAAGAATTGTAACTTGTAAGTTAGGAAGAGTAAAGCTGATTTCTATACACAAGGCTTTTTTGGTTGTACTATAAACAAAAATTATATGTTTGGTAAATTACTATAAATAATACTTGGCTGTTAAAAATGTATAAATGTCCTTTCTCAAAAAAATTGTATAAATGGCCTTTCTCAAAAAAAAATGTATAAATGGTTTTTAAATCTCTAAAGTTATAGTATAAGATATGTGTACCCACCTAGCGTAGACTTATGAATCAGGTTGTAATTTTAATGTGATTAATGTAGGGGTCATGAAGATCAAGGTAAAACAGCTGTAAAGTACAAATCAGAGCAGCGATCAAGAATGGTAAAGAAAGGCTACAAACTCCATGGAAATACTGGTGATCAGTGGAGCGACTTGCAAGGCTTTGCTGTGGCTAATCGTTCTTTCAAAGTCCCAAATCCAATTTACTATATTGCTTGATCATCGGCGTTTGCTTGAAATTTTATATTTTATGTCTGAATAAGAACTTACTAAAGAACTTCGTGATTGGCCGAAAATAACCAGTCTTAAATGTACCACGTTCTCCTTTTAATGGTTTATGTTTTCAATGCTTTATTTGTTTAAGAATATCTTTCGAGTTTCGATGTAGTTGTTGCAAATTGAATGAAAAGTAAAAACTTTGATATAGTGTGAGTTGAATACTAGTACAACCTATGAATGGAAGAATTTTGTTATTCTGAAACTACATGGCCAAAACTTTAATAGTCTCGGTACATGTGGTAACTCTTAAAAGATAAAAGACAAGCGATTGAGAAGTTTAAGAAATTTAAGACGAGGGTCGAGGGTGATACGAGGACATCTAATTAAGACACTCCGAACTAATAGAGGATGAGAGTTTATATCTACAGAGTTTGATATATTCTATGAAACTTCTTGTATAGCAAGCTATTTCTACAACAAAATGGTGTAATAAAAAACTAAATAAAACACTTAGGAAGATGACCAGGGCCGTGCTTAACTTTTTAAACCTAGAAACAAAAAACATTTCTGGCCCTTTCATGTAACATTTTGGAAAATATTGGTATGAAGGAAGAATCGAACCCGTTAAACAAATGATTACCTCAAAGCCAATTGAACCATCTAATATTTTGTCAAATTGGCTCTAAAATATATTTAATAATGCCGGCCCTGAAGGACATGATTGATGGGCTTGTACTTAGGTATGGCCCTAGAGATGGCCAGAAGCTTGATGAAACACATGAAGATTTCTAATTACCTATGGGGAGAAGCAGTAATACACTACATAACTGACTAATATAGCTTCAACTCGAGTGCTACCAGCTCAGACACCTTATGAAATATTCAAAGGGAAGAGACCGAGTGTAAAACATCTACGTTTCTTTGGGTGCGTTGGTTATACAAAAAGCAACACACCTTATATCAAGAAGTTAGACGACAGGTCCCGAGCTTTAGTACACTTGAGTACTGAAGCATGTTCAAAAGCTTACAGAATGTTTGACCCAGTCATCAAAAGATAGTACTAAGTAGAGATGTCAACTTTGATGAGAAGAAAAACTGGGAATGAAACTTATCAACTATCAAAAAGCAACCTGGTATGTTAAAAGCTACATACAAAGACTAGGGGAACAATGGTATACGAGAAGAACACGATAGTGTTCCAGCTATAACCGTTCAGAGTAACTATGGTAACATAATCACACCAAGAAGATCGACGAGAATCACAAAGCGACCGAGCTATTTGGAGGATTATGTGCAATTCCCCGAAGAAAAATGTGAGTATCTATTGCTCTTAGTCGATGAAGAGCCATGTGATATTAGTGAAGCCATGAAATAGAAAGTTTATAGAGATGTTTGTGAAGATGAGATATCTTCCATAATCAAGAACAAAACATGGATCTTAGTAGAACTTCCAGCAGGCGCAAAACCTATCGGGTTAAAGTTGACTTTCAAGATAAAATGTAATGATGATGAAACTATAAATAAACACAAGTCGAGTCTCGTAGCAAAGGGATACATCCAGTGATACTGTATCAATTTTGAAGAAGCTTTTGTGCATGCAGCAAGAATATAAACCATGAGTATTATCAGCATTCTGGCCGCATCTAATCGCTGGGAAGTGCATCTCTTAGATGTGAAAATAGCATTCCTTCATAGAGATCTAAAGGAAACCGTATATGTAAGAAAGGGATTTGAGATCAAAGGAAGTGAAGACAAAGTATAAAATTTTAACAAAGCTTTGTATGGTTCAAAACAAACTCCGAGGGCGTGGAACGAGAAGTTAAACAATGTTCTTCACGCACTCAAATTTCATTGATGCCATAAAGAGCCTTCGCCATACCGGAAATATGAAGACAAACATACAATTTTAGTAGCCATGTGCGTATACGATCTACTCGTCACAGGTTCGAGCCTAGACATTATAAGAGATTTCAAAGCAAACATGGCTGAAAAGTTCGAGACTGAGTGATCTCAGAAAGTTAACATACTATCTAGGGATTGAGGTATATCAATGCGGAGAAGGTATTATGCTCAAGCAAGAGAGGTATGCTAAGAATATTTTAGATGAAGCTAGCATGGAAGATTGCAATGCCGTACAAGCACCATTAGAGTTTGGACTACAGCTATCAACGACACAAGATGAACAAGACATAGATAAGAAAGACTATAGGCGAATGATTGGATGTCTTAGATACTTGTTGCACACACAGACTGATCTCTCTTTCTGTGTGGGGATACTAAGCCATTATAAGCACAAGCCAAATACATCACACGCAGCGGCATTGAAGCAAATACTGAGGTATCTACGAGGAACACTAAGCCACGGTTTGTTCTTTAAACAAGGAGCGAGATCAGAGCTTGTAGGGTACATTGAAAATGGTCAAAACATAAATGAAGATGATGGACGAAGCACCACAGGCCATATATTCTATCTCAACGAATGTCAGATCAGCTGATGTTCACAAAAGCAAGAAACGGTGGCTCAATCTTCATGTGAAACTGAGTTCATGGAAGCTATGGAAGTTGTGAAACAAGGCATTTGGCTACAATAATTACTTGAAGAAGTCATTGGGGAACTTTGCGAAAAAATGATGATAAGAATTGATCACAAACTGCAATTTCTCTTACCAAGAATCCGGATTTTCATGGAAGAAGGTAGACATATACATAAACGGTATCACTTCATTAGAGTGTGTGTAGAAAATGACCATGTCAACGTGCAGCATGTACCAGAAAAAATGTTGGAAGTAAACTTAAGAGTTAATTTGAAACACGTACAAGTTAATACTTTTCCTAGTTGAGTTATGACTAGAAGAAAAAAAGAAATATAGTTTGTTAAATGACAATAGTTATAGATTTTGGTAAAAAATACATATTTGTTGAATATCTTATGAATTTTTGAGATATTTTGTGAGAGTTTCAATTTTGAGTTATTTTCTAAAACTAAGAAGAGAGACAATCTTATTGATCTTTGAGTTCATACAAATACGATTGAAACAATAATCGCTTCCACTAGACTCTGGCTGGGCCACAACACAAGTCACTTGACAAAAACGAACGGTCATTTATCAAAGATTACATCATAGCATCTAACACAAATCTAAGAAAATCCCTGGCTGCATCAGAATAGAGTTTTATATATGCTCTCGTCTGCCAAAAATTTAAACGCAGTATAATTGTTTGCCACACGATTTTCTTTAATCATCCACCATGATTGCGTTCGTACAATTGTCTTGATAGAGTCCCAAAAGTAAATATATATGTCTTGTGAATATAGCTAGTCAATTTAATTTTCTTGCACAACCATTTTTTATTTTGTAATTGGGATACTACAAAGCGAAAGCCTGTTCTTTAGTATTCGTCTATTCGACGAGAAGAATAGTTACAAACAAAACTAGGACATAGGCACATCTCAAAACGCAAAAAAAAAAAACAAAATTCATATCAACCTTCAAAAATTGCAGAACAAGAGAGTTGTTAAAGATGATTTTTCACCATTTAATTCTGTAGTACTATGTCGATATAGGTTTCGGACTAAAACCACGTTGATCAGTAGACTAACAGATACACATAAGATCTGACAAGAAATGTCACCACACCACAAGACCGCTAAAACATAGTAAATATAGAAACATAAGGGGTTTATCATATCCTTAGTTGGACTACTACACTTTAGTGATGGTATAAAACAGAAAAAAACTTACCGTAGACAAAGCCATGAAAGGGGCCTACACATGAATTTAGTTTCAATCTAATCAGTCGAAATCGTGTAGAAGATGTATACAAACAAGATACATTAAAAGTAATAAGTGGTGAATTCTTTTTCTCGGTTTCGGCCATTCACCTATTTATACTTTTGTTCTACTATCTCCTCTTTCACCGCTATAAATATTTTATCAAATCATTCAACTAAAGATAAATCCTAAAATAAATCTTCAAATCAAACCTATATTTTTAACAAAAATCTTACGAAATAAACTCACAATTTTAATTTCACTAACATATGGTATCATCCGTCTATAATACCGTGACGAATGTGACATATATTAACGGTTTATAAATTGAGAGTTTATTAATATTAAAAAAATAGTTAAGGAGCTTTTTTGCGATTCAAAATAATTGAGAATTTTTATCACTAAAATTCATTCCATATTTTAAAATCTTTATTATCATTTATATGTTGTTTAAATTGATTTTTAAGCTTTTAAAACTAATTTATAAATCATTATATATTATTTTATTAATTTTACAACTGAATTACGAAGCATCATAAATATTTAAATACTTTTACAAATTATTAATAATGCTTCATAAAACAAGCATAATAGATCAAAAATATTTTTATTCATCAATAGGACAATAAAAATAACATATTGGTTCATAAATCAAAGAAAAGAAAAATAACCCCGAAGGCTGTGGTATGTATGAATTACCAAGCACTGGTAATAATTTAACTTAGGGGGGGGGGGTCGTAGAGGTAATCTTTGGATCCAGAGTAGGTTAGACAGAACATTTGGAAACAAGATTTGGTTTAATCAGTTTCTTGCATCTAATCAAGCTTTCCTAGCAAAAAGAGGGTCTGACCATCCACATGTTTTAATCAAGCTTATGTCTTCTCAAGATTCTTATAGAGGTTCCTTTCGCTTTGATCGAAGAATGCTTCATCAGTCTCTCCTCAGAGGTACAATAATCAATGCTTGGAACTCACCAAACATGTTTGGCTCTTCTTCCATCTCTTCACGTATCAGACTTTGTAGGAAGGGTCTTAGTCGCTGGAAAAAAGATAACAAAGCTAATTTTAAGGAGAGAATTATTTCCTTACAAGAACAGTTAGAACATGAGGAATCATCTACTAATCCTTCTCTTTCCAAAACATTGTCCCTCAAGAAATCTCTTCTCCTAGCTTATAGAGATGAAGATAATTTTTGGAAACAAAAGAGTAAGGATGACTGGATCCTTCAATACGCCAAAGCCCAGATTTTAATTAAGTAATAAGGAGAGATTATATCATACATGTCACATATAGCTATTGGTCTATCATGCTTCAAACATGCTATGGCAGCACCTATTGCATGGACACATGGATATTTATCTATATCCAACTTTCTGCAGCTGCAACTGCAACTTTTAAGATCCAAATTAAC